AAAGGAACCTTTTCAGTTTATCAAACATGCAGACAAAAAAGAAGTCACAGAATGCGCAAATTATAAGGAAAGTCAAGTAATAGTTGCTCCTATTCAGGATATCAGCCATTACTGAACTTTCCATAAAAATGTTACCAAAGTGACTTGTCCAACAAACTTTCTTAAGGGCAACTACAACTCCTTTATGCTTTGCCCTTATCTCTGCTAAACACAGATGACGCTGCTTCCAAAAATTTTGGCCGAGTAAACCAAGCCGAAATTGTCCCTTTGAGGTCTTTTTGCGAAGAAACGAAACGAGGACCCCCCCTTTTTTACTGGTGTTTTAAACTCGTTGTGGCTAAAAGAAAAATATATTTTCAGTAGAAACAAACCGGGCAATAGATATTTTATTATTTTGATCTGAATGATGTGAGACTCCGCATTTGGAGCCACATCACTTTACTGGAAAATGTTTGATAGCTCAGACTTTTCTAAGAAGACTTAATATGAATTTTTGTTGGTTGTTCAAATCTCGAACATTTTGCGCGCAACGAGAAGAAAAATCGCCAGCGCTTAGAACTACTGGCACGCATGGAGAAAACAAGCACAGGGGAACTCATCTTTTTTTTTTTTTGGAGTTTTTATTTAGTCAATATCCTACAATAATATGGCACCACAAAAATTGCACTATGAGATAAATAGCTATTAGGGCAAGCCTTATTAAAAGCGTTTGAGCCACTGGCGAACCACAAACCGTCACTGGGTCAGACAGTCAGGCTATTAGCTTTAAACGTGGATGCAACGTTCTGCAATTGCAGAATGTTGCATCCGTGGAGAAGAAGTCGAATTTCAGTAAGATACACGTTTTAAAATGCCTTTTTTTAGTGAAATTCATTTCCCTCATTACCTACATTCACCTATCTCAGCTCAAAAGGGTATTCTCGGAATCAGGGGTTTAACCAAAATACATGCTGTGAGAGATTCCAGCAAAACATTAAATATTTTATAAGCCATTAGTGACTAATTTGCACTGTAAAGTAGCAATTATACGTGTTTCACCTGTCAAACAGCTAACAGGTCCTCTCCTTTTCAGGCACCTGCAGGGTTCACTTAAAATTTTAAGTTGTTCCTAAAAGCGTGGGTAAAATATGCCCGTGAAATATTAAGCTGAAACATCGCGGACAACGCCATCGATAGCAATCCAGAAGGTCAGTAATCTAGTAATCTTGAAAACTGCAACAGAACTTCCACATTGGTTTTTGACATGCAAATTATTCACACGCGCAAAAGGAGAAGTAGAATGGTCGGGCATATTATGATGAATCAAGGATCCTATTCAGTTTATCAAACAAACAAAAAGAAGTCACAGAATGCGCAAATAAAAAGAGAGAGTCAAGTAAAAGTTGCTTCTATTCAAGATATCAGCCATCAATGAACTTTTCATACCAATGTTACCAAAGTGACTTGCCCAACTAACGTTCTTAAGGGCAATTCCAGCTACTTTATGCCTTGCTTTGATTTCTGCTAAACACAGTCCCATGATGCTGCTTACAAAATTTTTCTAAGTAAGCCAAACCTTCCCTAAAACGAAGCTTTCCGCTAATCAACTGGTTTGCTTTGTGTTCCGTAGCCATAACAATCTCGGTTTCTTTTCCTTAACAATATCATTGTTTTGTGACTATAAAAGGTTATTATCATGACAATATGTGGAACTGACAGGTACGAAGGAGCAAAAGGGTAGAGTAAGAAGTGAGATAAATAATCAGAATGGAACGAAACTAATAATCAAAAGGGCAAGTATCGAGATAAATAGGACGCACTGTGGTCGTTTTCATTTGGGTAGGGGAAGGTCTTTTTTGGATCGTGGAAATTGAAGGGACAACTTTAATAGAAAGAAGGCAGGGAAGGAAGACGACACTGAAAACACCCATTTCATCCTTCAGCGCAGTGACTGCATGCCATTAATTAACGCTTTGGGCGTTTACATGAAAAATATACTATGCAAGCTAATTATAAAGTTTACCCAGTTAAAAAAATACGGCAAACAACGAATAGCCCCCGTGAGATAGAATAACTTACGCGAGGAGGGAGAAGGAGAGGGCTGAAAAAATCGTCATTTCAAATTCGCTAAAAGAGTAAAATCACCACCCAAAGGAATAAATTATAGAAAGATCTAGAATATCGGGTTTCAAAAGCACCTGAAAATAATCTGGTATAGGCTAATTCACGGAAAACTCGAGTCTCAAAATTTTGCAGGTTCTTCGTTTGCGCCCCACATATAATGACATCCTCGATACACAGACCAAAGTGATCTTCTTGTTTTAACCAGGTATTCTCGTTTTGCAAAGATGCATGAAAAGGCCGCTGTTACGGGCCTTCTTTTCAACATCTTCTTTCTTGGTCTGATCCGCAAAGCAGCAACTACAGATCAGTGTAACGGACCTCGCCAGATACCCATCCGAGGCAAGATGCTGAAGGGACACATCTATGAAACCCGATGGGTACGATCCGGGTATGCGGAGTGCTTGTTTGTATGCAGAGAGGAAAAAGTCTGCCAAAGCTTCAACTTTGTGGTTAAAGAAAGCAAGTGTGAGTTCAATAATCGCACAAAGGAAGCCTGCAGTCCTGAGGATTTTGTTTCCGACCCTCATCGTCTTTATGTCAAACTTGACGTCAGTAGAGGTAAAGAACTTTGAAACTGTTTTAAACGGTTTATAACGGCTTGTTAGGCATTTATCACCTCGAAACAACTTTGTTTCACTTTCAGATAGATTTTTTAGTTTTTAGTTTTGCTTTAAAGGGGCTATATCACAAAGAAAATTGCTGTTTTAAGTCAATTCTGTGCTGAAGTCATTACTTACTGCCTTTAACCTTAAACAAAATGCTTCTGTAGAGTAACGAGGAAGATATCAAACAAATTTCATCAACATTATTTTTTTCATGATTTTTGCAGGCACAGCATTACATAAATTCGAAAAAATTGGCACATTTTTTTTTTCAGTTCAGTTCAATCCATGTTCATCCTTGCCATCAGCAGCAACGAAGACCAGGAAACAGTTTCAATGCATATAAAATACACTCTTAAATACCAAAACTGGGCTATTATTTTTGGAATTTAATTGATCCAAGTATACGTTGTAGCATTTTATAACGATGACAAAAAGCTTGACGTAGCTCTTTTTAGTTCTGTTTTGACTATGCCAACAGTAAATCCATAGAAAGGTAATAATTTGTACATGTCACACAAGGCCACACCTAACGAATTGTCGAGAGCCCGATTACTTGCAGACAAATTAGAAACCAAAATTAAATAGTTTTAAAGTCCGTTTATTGCGTATAGGATTAGCCTGTGTCCAGCGTGTCAGTCTCGCGCGCCTTACGTTACCATCCCCTTTCCACTCCAAACGCCTGCTTTTCAGGCTATATGAGATTAAATTTCTTTTTGCCATGCCGAAAAGGAGATATTTCCTTCAACCTGGGTGGTGTCGTCAGTTTTGAAAAACGACCTACGCTTGTTCGTGTCAAAAGTTTTCTAAAGTTCTAAGGTTAAATTAACCTATAAATACGCAGCAACAAACATTCAACGTTTCACTGTGGCTTAGCTCCTCTCTGGAAGTGACATTGCTGATTCCATGCAAAATCAAGGACGAGCAGGAGTCTTGTAGTGCGATGGTCGAGTGTAGGGAATTTGAAACGAATTTTTTGGGAGAAAAACCTGTCAAACTGAAACACCTTAACAAAAAATGCCCGCAGACAATAGATATGATAAAAAAGAACTGAACCAAAGAATATAATTTATTTGAATGTGTATAATCATGATAACAACATGAACATTGATCTGTTAATTTTTTCAATGTTTAAACGGCTTGTTTTTTTAAATTCTAGTTCCCCTTGGTTCTATTCCTGAGCTGCCAGCGACATCATGCCAGGAAATAAACAAAAACGAAGGCAAAAAATTGGACAGCGGCAAGTACTGGATGTCTTTAAGTGGAAAGATTGATCATGTTTACTGCAATATGAGTACCGTTCCGGAAGGTAAGTTTAATCCTTGCACCAGTATTATTATCATCTATAACGAATATCACACCTGTAATACCAGTTGAGGTACAAAATTTCTGGGACCGCAGCCTTACAAGAGGTCTAGCGTCACCAATACAACTGCCACAGGACGTTCGCAAAGACCTCCCTAAAAATGTGAACCGTTCCAATCAGAGTTGCTTTGTCAATCCTTTTTGTTGTTGCTGCTGTTATCATCATGATCATTCTTCTTGTCTTCTTCCTGTTCTTCTTTCGATTTATTTATCAATCCTCTCTACAGTTGCTCCTTTCTGATTCAGCATTATTAATTATCAACATAGAAAGAAAGCTTCCAAACTTATTCCTTTCTCCACCTCAACCAGAAGACGTAAGACAAATGCTGGGGTTGGTATCAAGATCTTGATTTTATCGTCATTTATCACTTGGTGTGAAAGGATCCAGATTTCAATCCAGGTTCACTTGACGAGACCGTAAGCAAACGGGGTCTTCACGCACAATCTTCTCTCCGGCGTCATCAGTTGCTCTTTGTAAGGCGCGAGTGGACTGCGCCTAACAGGAGAACGTTCGGTCCTTGTTAAATCCTTAAGAGCGGCTTTCTGAGAAGATCAACTATACCTATGCAGGATAGAAAAATTCGATTTTCCCAAACTTTGCCAGGATGAAGGCCTTGATTAACTTGTTTCAAAACTGTAACTTTCAAGTTGCTAAATTATTTTATTTTTTTCTCTAGACAGCTTTTCGCGTTTACCGCCTGGAGGGCCCCAAAATCGACCTAAAAATCCCATCTAATTTGAAAGCTACCACGACAAATGTAAATCCGTAATGGCTAAACGTCATGTCAAGTATTAAATTATCACCTTTTAACAATCATACACTGATGTCAGATTTAAACAAAGTTGAAACCTGAATTTTATTATTATTATTTTTAAATATACGCTCTGTGCTGATGTTGCGTTTCACCAAAATTTAAGTCAAATTCTGTGGCCTAAAAGTCCACCTGGTACATGGATTTTCCTATCGAAACCACTATTCATGATAAAAGTATTACGTCAGCTTAGTTTTTTTCGACAAACTAGATTGGGTAAATAAAACAAATATTTTTTAGAGCCCCTAGAAATCAGGCCGCTGGAGCGGATTTACATGACCTTTCGACCTATCACGTGACGAGTATTTTTAAAGTATTTGTCTACAAAATGTTTTATTGCGGGTCAAATATCCTGAAAAACAAACGTTGACTGTCAAGTGCATCCGAGGAATACTGTCAAGTCCATATTAATTTACTTTAAATTCGGAACATCTAATCCTCAAAAAACATCTCTTAGCGAACATTTGCTTCGAAGGATAGAATGTAGGAATTAGGCGGCTCAACACGATGCTCGGAAAAAATACATTCAATCAAGCATTGAAAAGAAATGTCACAATCTTAAAGTGGACCTTGCCGTTAGTAAAGTGTTTAGAAGTCCATCTCACCTCAACAATGTCTATCTTAGGAAGAAACGATCATTTTCTGCATCTCATGTGTCGATCATGTCGTACCATGTCGTGACCGGGTTACAACTGACCTTAACAGGTATCCCAAGCTCGTGGAAAGTTATTTTTTGCTTGGATTTTCATATTATCCCCCTATTTCCGATACTGCTTTTTTTCCGTGATTGAATTTTTGCATATTTTTACTTTTATCACCTTCTCTTAAAGGTCGTTGCTTTTTATAAGTACGGGTGAATGTTTTAACTGGTTACTGACATGTTATGGTTCTGAAATGCAAGCGAGTTAACTTATTAAAAAGCGCCAAGAGAGAAACTAGAAGCATTGCACCATTTTGCCAGTTTCTTTTCTTTTCTTTTCTTTTTTTTTTTTTCCTCATCGTTTTACGGTTTAAATACAAACAGCTTAAGACTCTCAGGAAAATCTCCTCTTCCATGACCCCAGAGGAGGCTAATATCAATTTTGCCCATTCCCCCTCCCTCTTCTAGGCATCTGTCAAGCATTTATGATTTTTTCTTCCGAAACCTGCAACTTGCCTTATCATTGTGGCCAGCAAATTCGTCAAAAACCCATCCGTGTCTTCGAAAATGCGTGCAGTTACCCCACCCTTGGGGGAAAAGAGAAAGGTTTATTCCTTTGAATTTGAAAAAGTAAAAAATTGGAAAAATTTGGAAAAAAAATACTAAGCAACTGGAAAGTTACAGTTTTGGAACAAGTCAATCAAGGCCTTCATCCTGGCAAAGTTTGGGAAAATCGTATTTTTCTATACTTCATAGGTATAGTTGATATCAGAAAGCCAATCTTAAGATTTCACTGAGATCAACACAGGAAGCGCAGGAAATCTCGCTGCAGGGTCCTCAGGCATCCGGACTTGATAGAACCAAGAGAGAATGATCTCATTCTCTCTTGATAGAACATATCAATGTCGCTTACGTATGTGACTGGTTCTTGGTGAAACTGCTAAGAACACCCACAAGTCGATTCGTCAGGTCTGGCCCTTGTAGCAACTTAATTGTCCTACCTTGTCGTTCAACGACGTACCTCCGAAAAAGAAAAGAAAAGAAAATCCCTTGGCAATGATGCTGTTCAAAAAGTTAAGTCACACATAGTGTCCTTGAATTTTCTAACTCTTAACAAGCTTCTTTCTTAACCAGTGTTCTCTTTGAATGACTCACTCTTTATTCTCAGGAGAACCATGGATGGTCACTCCGGAAAGGAAGGGGGGTTTCATAATGACTATCGTTGGTGTCACGAATTTCCTGGCCAACCTTTATCTTCAGAAATTTATTGTCTTCTAGTGAATATTCGTGCTCTTTGTCGCTTCTTCGTTTACTGAAGTCTAGTTCGAGCATCTCGCTCAGTACTTGTGGAGTAACCGTACCATTTCTCTAACTTTTCTCATTTCTCTTTTTTTATCATAAAGTGGTGGTCGAGATGTCTACCTATGAACCAACTCCTTTGCAGCAACTCTGTGGCAATTGACATCTGTATTGCTCTAAGCCGCACATATACAGAGGTGCAATAATTACTTATAAGTGATTTGGTTAATTACGCGGCGATCATATTTATGACTTTTAAAGCTTATCTGAAGATCCGGTGCATGAATAGGCAACTCTTATGCTCAATTCGAAGGGAAAGCACATTATTATTACGCCCGAATCATAGCTCACACAGATTCGTCCGGCGCTATAAACGAAGCGTTCAACACGCGATGAGGAAGTCTTCCTTTACGACCTTGGTCTTCCCTCAGCCGAAGGAACAGAAAATACAGAAACACAAAACAGACGAAAGCAAACAGATGGAGACATAATAATCCACTTGAGCTAAGCTGATGATCCTGGCCCGTTGGCGCGTAGAATAACCCACACTATAGCCAACACTATTGCTCATCCAGGAATGGTCTGATGGCGAAAGGAACACCATTTTCACTTCCTTATACGTCTATTCCTGCAGTTTGAGGAAATCAAAAGACCGATCCTGCACCGGTTATTCTCCTGCGCGGAGAATACCCACACAATAGCCAACACTATTGCTCATTCAGGCAAGGTCTGATGGCGAAAGGAACACCATTTTCACTTCCTTATACGTCTATTGTTGCAGTTTGAGGAAATCAGAGGACCGAGCCTGACATTAAGTAACCGTGGAGGCATGTTTATTTGGCTATACTTCTGAGATGTTCCAACGATGGGCGAGCTTAGGCGTTGGCACGTTTTTGGGTGTGGAAAGTTCCTCTTTTATAGTGAATTTCATCGGCAGCTGCGCGGGATAACGGGATAACGGCTGAATAATCCATTCAAGTCCTTAATGTCGAGCGACTTTGAACCATGGACGGTCTTCACCATTAGCTGTGTATTCATGCCCTTCACCCTGAACGTGGCTGTGATATCGTTAAAAACGAACGAAGGGGTACAACAGGTGTCGAGCTGGAGCATGATACAGTTTGCTGGTGAAGAGAAGGGCTTAGCTTCTTGGTGGCCTCCTGATTGGGAGGAAGGGTTTCGTCATGTGGTCCTGTACCATGTTGATGTAGACATTAAAGCAGCTCTTAAAGGTCCTTCGCTGGTTACAACTGTTGGCTCGAATTGTGGGATTGTAGAAGTCAAAGCAAATCGTCTTCTTTTTCCTCTTTGGCACTCGGGTTTTCTTCAAGTATTTTTGACAATCATGACTCTTGGTAGAGGTTAGTGGGGTTGAGTGGGACAGCGGTTACCTCCGTCACCTGATTGAAGGAGTGATGCGAAAGGCGATTTTCCCCAGACATTTTTACTTGTAAGAGCCTTTTCCTTTACTAGAACGATCAGGTCGAACTGAGGAACCATCCAAATAATTGAGCGCTCCTCGCTGGAGGCCTTGATCGGTCGAAATTTTCACTTCTGCATTAACAAAGTTCACGAAGTCGGCGGGGGAATCGCCCCTTCTGTCACTCTCCTGTTTTTTTATTCTCGGCGCCATCGGCTTTGAAGCGTAACTGGATGATTTATAAGTGACTATTTTTTACAAGTTTTGAAGATGGTTGAGAATAGAAAGGAGGGTTAGAGTTAATATCGCGCTCTGGCACTGACTAAGCAAGAGGGAAAATCTGTATAATTCCCTCTCATCCCCTGGTTGGATGGAGGTCGTTAATCTTCTTAAGGTGCCTAAGCCGGGGCTGGACATCTTGTAACGGTGCCTATACTTAGCGCCTGGGTAGCCACTTCGTCAAGGTAGAGACATCCGTTGAAAAGGTCCTTGGGTTCTTTGTGTAAATACTGCTCTAATTATTGTAGACTAAAACATCATATGCGCTGAATTTAGTTTCTACTTGCTAGTCACAACTTGGTTTGAATTAGGAATACTCCAATGGATCCCCAGTTAACGTGGTCAGGGTCAGTGAAGGCAGTAAATTCTGTTATTGTTGCTCTTCTAGCAATTCGGTTAACCGGTTTTGTTGCTGAAGAACGTCAAAAAAAGTAATTTGTAATTTCACGTACATCAGCCTGACACTTCACTTGGCAGATAATCTTGTTTCGGTCATCCTACTGCCTCTGTATCCTGCTTCACTAGGTGACTTGCATGAGATCCATGTACACTAAAGGATTCAGACTGAGATGCTGCATTATCTTCGGAAGGGTTCGCATCACAGCATCGTCATATAAATCAGTAGTAAAGTTTAAATTATTTACAGTGTTTGACTTGTCACTTATTCGGCGGCGTTGACCAATTGGCTAGAAGATGTACTAGACGGTTGCGAACGAGCGATAGTGTAGAACATATTCAACCAAATTGAGATCTAGTTCCAAACTCTGTTCGATGGTCTCTTCCGCAGATGAGACTCCAGCGTAAAGTTTTCTCTATACCTCTCGCTCTGGTGGGCGCACCAATCGTTCGCACCTTCAAATCATCCTCAGTCTCAAGATCGTCCAAAAGTGAAGCGTCATTTGTCTTACGTTCTAAAATGTAATACGAAATGAAGCCAGGTTATTCAAACGACAACCGTTTTTTCGCTAGTCGCTAAAGAATCGATTCCCTTTCTTTAGCGACCAACTGAGAGTCCGTCCACCAAATGCTAACGATGATCAATAATTATAGCTCTTTCCTTTCTGGGTGCGCGCCTTAGCCTTAATTGTTACTCTGATTGCTTCTGCAGTGTCTGTAAGATCTAAGCTGTCGGCCGAACGTGTCGCTTTCCGTTCTCACTTGTTCACAAATTTGATGCCTCCCAATTTCCTCGATTGAATCGATAACGTTTAGGGAATTGTACCGCAAATTGGTCACAGTTTTAACTCGCTTTTCATTTTCTGATTAAATCAATTACGATCAGTGCGGTTGCTAGACTAAAACAACATTAAATGTGCACGTAACATGAAAGCAATAGACCAAGATATAATAAAAAAAGGAAAAGTAAACGAAGCAAAGACCTTGAATTAGTTGGACAGGAAATAAATTAACTGCAGTTGAAATCTGAACGGAGCAGATTACTGTTGACCTTTAAAGCAAAATGCCCTAAAAGAAATAACAAAACTTGGACAGATCAGTTCTTAAAACACACACAGAAAAACCTAAAGGAATTAAATACCTAAAAAAGTCTAACAGAATATAAGCTAAGGCAAAAAAAAAGAAAAAAGAAATGTGAAAACAAAACAAAGAAAAAATGCACGAAACCTTTTGTAAGAAACGCGAGGAGGAGTATATTTGTTCTTGATTACGACAACAACAATTATTATGCCGTGAGAACTTTCGTAGATTGCTTATATATATATATATATGACTTTTAATGAGGCATATGAAGTACACGAACTTGCTAGCAACAAGCTTTTTCAATGTTAAAGTAAGTTTTTAGAGGCCAAAATGAGGCCAAATTCAAGAATGTGTCCCATATCAACTCCATACATGTAAAGACATTGTACTGACTACTAACAGCAAGACCATATTACAGTCCAGTACAAGCCAAATGTGTTTCTGAAAGGCCTCAATTTATTCAAGTAATGATACAAAGGCCGTTTTGGGGGTGGAATTAACTGGATTTATGTAAAAAACAAAATGTTTATTATTTGTCTGAATTTGCTAATACGTACCTCTTGAGGTTTCAGGAGCGTCTTAACATTTTTCTATCCATTTTAGGCACAATATCTCTTTGGATTCCTAGGAGTCTATTGAAATTTTCTTTCCGATCTTTTTTTTTTACCAGACATTGATGAATGTAAGAGCGAAATTCATGACTGTCACGTAAAAGCAAGCTGTATTAACACTCTTAGCTCTTATAACTGCACGTGTAGGCCTGGCTACAAAGGGAATGGGACCATCTGTACAGGTATTATAAAAAAGTTGTTCCTCTCTTCCTTGATAAATATGAAATAATACCCAGTTAAACCAAAGTTTAGGGAATGATGGCGACATAGATCGAAGGTTAAAACACTCTTGCTGCAGTAAGTTTCATGTGATCGAAGATCGAAATTTGTGTGATCAGGTTACGAGTGATAGAAGGTCCAAACGCGTGTGATCAAATTACATTCTATGCATTCAGTTCGTTCTTCTTAGTGGAAATCCAAACTAGTTCTAGCTGCAAATCGTGCCGCTCATGCATATGCGCACCTGAAGGTAGCATTGCAGGTACAGTATCGTTTTAAAATCCTGTCTATTTAAATTTTCTTTTCGTTTTTTTTTGTTCCAGACATCGATGAATGCAAGAACGAAAGTCATGACTGTCACGTAAATGCAAACTGTACTAACACTCTTGGCTCTTATAACTGCTCGTGTTGGCCTGGCTACAAAGGGAATGGGACAATTTGTACAGGTATCATGAAAAAGTTGTTCCATTCTTCCTTGGTAAATATTAAATAATACGTAGTAAACACCAAATTTTAGTTAATGAGGGAGAGATAGATGGACAGCCGACACTCCTGCTGTAACGCTATACTTTGCGCAGGTTTCACACGATCGAAAATCAAAATGCGTGTGATCAGGTTACGAATGATAGAAGGTCCAAACGCGTGTAATCAAATTACGGTCCATGCATTCAATTCGTTCTTCTTAGTGGAAGCCCAATCTAATACTAGCTTCAAATCCTGCCGCTCACGCATAATCGCAACCTGAAGGTGGTATTGCTGGCTTCTCTTGTCGCCCGCACTTAGTCAACGAAGTGCACAGCGCTAATATGGCTGTAATCATCGCATATCCAATAAGCGCGAGAACTTCCTAGGATTATCTCCTGGTGGTCTCACTAGAGAGGAGAAGGAGAGAACTTTGCATAGGAGCGAGGCTGCAATCTCAGGTGAAATAGACTTTTTTACCGATACGGCGGCCATATTGAATTTATTAGATTTGATCATCAATTAATGAATGAGCTGAGTATCTTATCAAGAATTATGGAGATCGAAGAGGGTGTTATCCGTCGAGGCCGTAGGCCGAGCCAGATAACACCCTCCGAGATCTCCATAATTCTTCATATGATACGAAAGCCGAATTCAATAATTGTTTTAATATTCATTAAAAATAATTCCTAGTTTAAAAACATAGCTAAAACAAGCTTACCTGCGTCGATGTTAATTTATCTTCGATAGTTTACGTTTAGGTTTGTCCAGCTCCGCAAATATTCTCCAAATAGCGCCTGTCGCCCTCCGAGTTGTCTTCTTGCTGTTTTTGCTATGTTTTTAGCCATTATTTCGCCTAATTTCATGGTGATACAAGTCAGTTGTAAAGGAAGACTGCAATTTCTCAAATTTCGGAACTGAAGCATTCCTCGTTAGTTGCTACTTAGGTCATCGCTTTTGCACGCGGTGCTTAACTGGCGAAATCCACTCCACTTTAATCGTCGACTCTTTTCAAGGTGCATGCTTAAATGTGGGATGTATGACGGCAAAAAAAAAAACAACAACAACGCTCGCAAAGATAACCTTTCCGTGATCCTCAGTTCGCTGCCTTTCTCCCATCGCTTCATGCTCAGAGTCAGTCGGGTAATTCATTAACTTTTGTTTCATGATACCCAGATCCCAGCGGCTGTAAGATTGTAAAAATGGACGTAAAGGAAAAAAGGAAAACGGTCAAACGACGGGCTTCTGAGTTCGACTTGATCCAATTTTATTTTTTCACGGTGACACACGAGACTCACGGAAATATGACACTTTTCGCCGGAAACTAGCCGTTCTATTTATAAATCTACTCGGGAAAGGGTTGACTCAAGAAATTAATGGAGATGGAGGCTCCACTTGATGGGCTCCTGATAATGAGTATTATGGTATGCCCAGGGGGGCACTCGCGCAGTTTTTTACGCGCGCTTTTTGGGCAAAAAGAGAATTTTTCGGGAAAAGGGATCATTATTACGTCCAAACATGGCACAAGGTTTTTTTTCCCCATTACAATCTTTTTTAGGAAAACCTAAAGAAAAATTGGCCCAAAAAGCGCACGTAAATACGGAGTGAGTATATCAGATCGTGCTCATGCCCCCTGGGCATCCTATAATACTCCTTAAATCTAATTAATTTAATATGGCCACCGTATCGGTAAAACGGTCTATTATAACCACATTAAGACATCAACTCAAACGCGGTGAAAACACTAAAAACGGCTGTTGTTTTACTGAAAAAGTATACAAGGCTGACTTAAAAATAGAAAGGAAAATACAATAGACCATTTTCTGTGTATCAAAATTCACACTTGGCTCCGAGGCTTGGGAAAAGAAATGTATTATTCATTGCTGAGCCTCAAGATGATTTCTTTTATTGTAGTCCCCCAAGCCTCGCAAACAAGTATGAAATTTAATATCTCGGAATTGGTCCATTGAAAGGTCTCAATTACATGCGACGAGTAATGTACCAGGCCAACAAGCACGAATGAAAACTTAACTAGAAAATACAAACGGCCAAATAATAAACCAAATAAAAACAAGAAAGCGAAAAGAGAGGCTAAGTACACCTTGTGAGCCTATTATATATACCATCTTGAACGAAACAAACGAACGAAACCATTCTGCAGGCCCGGCCAGGGGTTTTGGGTATTCAGGTATCCGGGGTCTTTATTGCCAACGAGGCAACCGAGCTAAGAAGCGAGGTTGACTCGGCGGCAGATTATAACGCCACGCAATGTGGGCAAAACCCCTCAAATTCTGCGTAACCCTCTAAAATTTGCATTTTTGACCATATTTGGGTGTAAGTAAGACCCCATATTTGGACAGTGACGTCATGGTCTAATATTTATCACTCGTGGTTTGAGATTGCGTGGTCCAGTGTGCAGCTGTTCGTTGTCCATCGGAGAAGGTCGATGACCTAACAGGTGAGCAAGTTTTTATACGATTTCTAGTTTGAAAAGGCTATTAGTGGTTTATATACGCTCACATTTTTATTAGAACCAGCGGGTTCTTCGTAGCTCGATTCGCATTGAACCAGCGTGTTCGCACCTGTGTGTCTGCCTGTCAATTTCGAACGAGGTGTTCTTTCGTCGACTGAGACGTTTTGAAGACTTACGAGAAAAGAAGCGAAGTGATTTATTTTTACATCTTTTAGCAGAAAAAAAATCCTTAAACGCCAGCGTTGCGTATTAAATCAAGACAAACACGTGGTTTCCATCGCTTGATCACTGCGAGCGTTCAGTCGCATACCAACTTTGTCATGTTTCGTGTTTACTGCTTCATGCTGATTGTATCACTCATTGTTTGTGGAAGCAGTTGCTCCATAATTAAACCTCCGCGTGCTTGTTTAAGTGACGATTTACAATTACACAAAATTAGATGTTGTGGCCCGTGCTTATATACGGTCACCTATTACAAACGGAAATATTTGTCTAGAAGAATTCCGTATGCTTCAAATGGTAGTTTTAATCCTTACATAATAACAAACAAGGAAGCACATTTGGTCAATAGAAATCTAGCATTGTCAAAGGATTCAAATTCCCGTAAATCTTCCCAAACCAAACCACATTTACAAGAACGTTTTGGTAAAGAAATATCGCAGTCATTGCCTCGTTCATTCCTCCCCGTTGAGCAAATGCATTTCAGGAATTACTGCCTTGATTTTTCAGGAAAATTCTCATGTGCAATTGATTGTTTTATGGAGTTAAGCTGTTACATTTTTAAAGATGCTATTGAGTCTGTGGAACGTAATGAATTTTTTGAAATGTTATACACAGCATGTGTGCAAGTAAATAGTTGTGAAATCCTTTCCAACCAGTTACATTCAGTCCAAGAACCCATTTTTTCCTGGATGAGACAGCACTGTGCCTCTTTTACAGGTATGTCAGATAATGCTGTATTCANTTTGTGGAAACAGTTGCTCCATAATTAAACCTCCGCGTTCTTGTTTAAGTGACGATTTACAATTACACAAAATTAGATGTTGTGGCCCGTGCTTATATACGGTCACCTATTACAAACGGAAATATTTGTCTAGAAGAATTCCGTATGCTTCAAATGGTAGTTTTAATCCTTACATAATAACAAACAAGGAAGCACATTTGGTCAATAGAAATCTAGCATTGTCAAAGGATTCAAATTCCCGTAAATCTTCCCAAACCAAACCACATTTACAAGAACGTTTTGGTAAAGAAATATCGCAGTCATTGCCTCGTTCATTCCTCCCCGTTGAGCAAATGCATTTCAGGAATTACTGCCTTGATTTTTCAGGAAAATTCTCATGTGCAATTGATTGTTTTATGGAGTTAAGCTGTTACATTTTTAAAGATGCTATTGAGTCTGTGGAACGTAATGAATTTTTTGAAATGTTATACACAGCATGTGTGCAAGTAAATAGTTGTGAAATCCTTTCCAACCAGTTACATTCAGTCCAAGAACCCATTTTTTCCTGGATGAGACAGCACTGTGCCTCTTTTACAGGTATGTCAGATAATGCTGTATTCAATAACATATTCCAAATCAATACATTTGGAGAATTAACGTTTGGTTTAAAATCATTATTTCTTATTCAACATACCGATCATTCCATTTGTTCAGAGTATAACCAGGAAATCACCAAATCCACAGATGTTTTTGTCTTGTATATTACCTATCGCCATATAAATCAGAATGGTTTTGAAAGTTCTGTATCAGAAGCTATGCTGCCAAACATCAATAGACTTTTTTGTGTTTACTGCCAAAATCATTCTGGAAGTGTTGCTTCACTTCGACACTTTGTGTGCCTGCCAAACTTTTTAATGATAGAACTGTCACCTGATTGTATAACTCAAATGTTTTTTTCCACATGATATGGAAACCTTAGGAGTTTCATACTGCCTTAAAGGAATTGTTAGGTGTTTAAATAGACATTTTACTGTTGCCTTAAAAAGTGAGAGAGGTTGGATCTATATTGATGATTTGTGTGTTTCTGCAAGGCGTTTCTTATCCTTTCAAGAAGTGTTGTATAGTTATCGGGATGGCTGGTTTTTTGCCATATTTCAAAAGTCTGAGTCTGTAGACATCAGTTTACATGAATCTGCAAATCAGACCTGTAATAGCTTCACCATAAATCCAGTTGTTTGCAAATCAGTTTCAAAAGACTCTTGCAGTAGGAAAGAAGTGAAGTTAAACCAAAAAGTCACAAGTTATAAAAAGGATAACAGAGTCAAATGTAATAACTATATGAAGTGTTACAGAAAACAGCCAGAAGTCAAGGCAAAAAAAAATGCATACATGCAGAAGTATAGAGCTAAAACTTATTCTCAACTTGACTTAAACGAAAGGGGCAAATTAGAAATACGTAAAAGAAATGAAAACCAAAGAAATGATTTAGTAATTACATTTACAATGAAGAGGAAAAGTCAAAGCATTAATTCCTCAAATGATACATATTATGCAGATGAAAACATTAAACGACCTAAACAGGAAATAAGAAAAAGGTCTTCACAAACATCTAGTGAAGTGAAGAAAAGAAAAAAGTTGTACATGCTGGCATACAGGCTCAAGAAAAAAAATTCAGATAGTAGTGTAATGACTGAAGGAGTAACAAGTCTGAAAAATGGAGTTTCTAGCCAGGAAATGTATTTATCTGAGTTTAAAATAAGTAACTGTGGAGAGCTTCACCAACAAGAGTGGGCAAAACTGAACATGCAAAAGTTTCTTGATTCGATGAAGTTAAGAATTTCTTTATGTCAATGCTGTCATGAAGCATGGCCACTTCACATTAAAACAAAAAAGAAAAAGGAACCATGTATTTGTACCAGGTGCTTAAGAGACAAGAATGATACAAAAAAGTTTTCATTGAAAACAGCTAGCTACCATCTGCTGTGCCAGTAGAACTTGAAAATCTGACACAAATAGAAGAAATGCTCATAGCCAGCGTGTTCCCCGTTATGAGTGTTTATACTAAGCCAGGAGGGCAGAGAGCATATAGAGGCCATTGCATCAATTTTCCCCAAGAAGTTCAACAGCTTTTTTATACTTTGCCTAGGCATAGCATGTGTTATTGTGTTAACTATAATGATGATAATAGGGTTATTGTTGCTGTCACTGTAAGCGCATTGATGATCATGCATCCTGAATTTGTTTGCTTTTGTTTCGTTTACTAAACAACTATGGGTACATCCAAAAAATATCCCCCGTCAAAACCGCTGCAAGGTCCAGACATGATTGGTTTGACTTTCACCTGCAAGTTTCACCGACTAAAGAGCAAAGAGTAGTTGGATTTGACAAAACAAAACATCCCAAGATCAAGCACTTCCAAGAAACCAAGTCTTCCGTCTTGTTAAAGAACCTTCTTATACCAGATGATGAAGACAACGACTGGCTTTTCAACCAGCAATCCTATGTGTCGCAGTGTGCAAATGCTGATGTACCATTCTCTATGTATCAAATTTTGTCAAGTCAGAACGTTCCGAGTCAACATCACAGGAAGCGTCTGATGTTCTCTTTACGAGAACTGAGAGAAATGGCGCCCAATCAGAAAGTCAACGTCCATGCATGCAACTCTGTCAATGGGAGCTCAGGAGCTAAACAAGATAGAAACCGAATCCAGTCAAGCTTTATCTGTCAAAGAAGACTGCATATTGGAAGACGAAACGGGCACAATGGAACTCCACATATGGGAACCGTTATTTACACAACTGAAAAGCAACAAGGCCTATTACTTTCAAAACTTCACACTACGGTATTATCAAGGATCAAAATTCCTTAGCACCAACAGGAATACAACTTGCAGTGAGGAAACCACAACTCTCAAAAAATTAGTGGGCCCAGAAATATTGACAAATCCAGAAAGAGAGATCATTGCAAGTCAACTAAAATATGATGCCAGTTTAAGAATTTTTAGTGCATGCCAACTTTGCAAAAAACGAATTGGGGATGAGTCGGGCGAGTCAGTGAGATGCCAAAACTGCAAAGTGCGACAAAGCATCATCAACTGCAGGCGGGAAGGCTCTATCAAGCTGTTTATTCAACACAATGAATCGGAATTGTGGCTCACTTCATTTACAAATGAAATCGAAAACCTCCTGAAGAATACAACAGCAAGTATGAGCAGCACCGTAGATGAAATAGAAGATGCCCTTAAGAACCTAAAGGATGTCAAATTGAAATAAAACTCCCAACGGAACATTTTCAAAGAAGTACTAAACTTGTAATTTCCACAGGAAGTACTGTGGTACTAAACAAATCAACCATTTTGTGGACAAAGTTAAAGAATTTCAAAAAAATGACATGTGAACTCTAGTGAAACAAAGTGGAAAAGAAACTGTTATTTAAGTTCGTGAACAGACCAATACAATCAAAGCGTTCAAAGTTTTGTTACCTACATTTTTTGCTATCTATAAGAACGTTATAAAACTTTGATATTTATTACTGAGACGTGCTACGAATTTAAAAAAATTCGTTTGTACAAATTCAATTGTTGTATTTGTTGTTTCATACCATGAAAGAAAACAACCATATAGGCACTTAATACATTGATTTCAATAATTTCAAACAAAGCACTGCTGAAGTGTAGACAGTAGACACTGCTTGCTATTAACTTGTTCAAGTTCAATTTTCAAGGATTGATTACGTTTATCGTTTAAAATAGGATGAAATTTGCAGTGAAGATTTGCTACCAAAGACGCTTTAAGCTTCTGTGACCAGGTTAACCTAGAATGTACCAAAGTTGTTGTTTCAAACCCCTCAGGGGGTTACTCAACCAATATTCAGGTATAGGTGAACCGCCGAGGTTTGAAACCCTGACCCTGTTTAGGACAAAAATATCCTTAAATATATACCCTCTTAGGTCAACAACGCCAATTATATACTCCGTTTAGGATAAACGAAAAAAGCGCCGTCGTGTTTAAAGCTATTTATGAATTTATTGGCAATTACTGTAGAGTAAAAACACAATACGGGGCGGAGAGGTCAAAAACCATAACCTGTCCAGCGGCACATTCCCGTATAGGCAATATAAGGGCGTACCACCCCACCCTTTTACAGTCCCTTTACAATCTCCTGTATTAATTCTTATGTTGGCTTTATTAATAATAGACAAATCAATTTAAAACTCCGAAAATTGTCCACCGATTCACGAAGGACCGTTAGGCACATCCCACAAAAGGTTATCGAATTCTCCTCGTTGGCACTTGCCGGAAGGTACCCCTAGTTTATTCAGGTATACGGTATTTCGGTGGTACATATAGGCATTTAGTATCTTGCTTTCTTAATCTTTGGCATTTGGTATTTAGGCACGAGGGTTTGAAGATTTGTTTTAATACATGAATGTATGTCGACACAATGATTGAGATGTGTTCAACAGAATTTCGCCAGGGCTTGGGAATGGAAAGGAATGGATAAAGGCTGCGCCCTGTAGTGCACCAAAACTTATAGGCATTCTGTGTCTGGGTGTATTAATTATATCTCAGCAGGCTGTCTAACCATCCCAATTTCTTAGAGATTGCCCCGATTTTGCTTGAAAAACTTTAATCCTGACCAATGTGCAATTCTTAATATATAGATTTAGCCAGGGCTAAAAGCGAAGCTCCCATTATCAAACAATAAAGTTGTATTCCGCAAATCAATTAACTTTAGAGCACATTCATGTGACTTTTGAGGGAAAGGCTAAGTGCAAGGGAATGAATGCAGTATTTCACAATTTTGCAACACAAATTGCACTCATTCAATATTGAGGTCGACCGAAGTAGGCGTGGGCTTTTAGCGAAACAGTTCAAAAATTTCCAAAATCACCTATACGGCCAGCCGGTTCTCACTTTTGAAAAGCTTCAAGTTTGCAGTGCGAGCTGTTTAGAGTGTTTGAATGAAAATTAAAAATCTATTACGTTTATTTTTATCTATGGGTTTATAATGATGTGTAATCTTCAAAAGCGTTTGATACGCGCGGAATTTTGAGTACTCCTGCAAACAATGTTCATGAACGACTGAGAACAAACGGAACAGCGATTAAAATTGCAAGAGAAACTACGGCTAACAATCAATGAAAGAAATATAATTCGGCGAAAGATATGCAGAGACAACAATTTTCATTCACAAAGACAAGTATTAAAGTGTCTCTAAAATCCTGATTCTTGAGGCTCATTAGGCTTAATAGTCTTATTTGTACACCCAAAGATAGCAATCATGTTCGATCACAGTAGATTAGGCCTGGAAAACAAATAGACCTATTCGTGTATTAAATTCGTGTATTGTATTTGCATTAGCTGTTGCATCATAATGTGGTATTCACCAGTCTCTCCAACATTGCTCCGTTAGAGAGACTATGGATAATTGGACAACCCCGAAATATAATTTTAAGAAACACACGAGCCACGATAGTCCTTGATGGCAGCCAATTGACACGTTGCATTCCTCTGTCTAAAAGGGAGGCCAAAATAAAAAATCAGGCCGGATTTTTTGTGTTCGACAAAGTTTACAAGTAAATCTTGGCGACGAATCTGGTGGCGTGTAAACCAGCCTTTTAAACATACTTTTTCTCAACACGTCTCAGGTAAGCAGTACTATGAGGCCCTTTTTTTTATCATACAGACCTCGGACAGAATTTTTTTTTTTTTTTGCCCTATAATGCACCAGTCAATTCCACCTGCGCCCAGCACCCCCCCCGGGCTGACCCCCGGGCATTAGCATTTTTTTTGCCTTGGATGGCAAATTCCCGTGGGTGGGGACTCTTGAGCTGTCAAATCCCCTGGGGTGGGGACGGAAAAAGAGGGCAAATGCCCCCTCCTACGTCAACGCTGTAACATTTTTCATTGATCGCACGGTCGAATAGTGCCATTTTAAGCATTTTAATGTGCGACTTTTTGTTTCAATTAACGTCTTCCTTTGTAATAGCGTTAGGATTCTAACTAAAACTTCACGCCGCGACGACATGCACCAGTGTATGGTTTTAGTACTGATATAAAATTATTGACATCAAAATTAATGCAGCGCTGTAAAGTTATATGTTATGAATAGTTTTATAAATGTGAAAGGATGTTCTTCAAATAATATGAACAGAAATTTGATACAATGACCAAAAAATGTTGATTCACATGGATAGCTCAAATTCGCTATGTAATTCTGACTTGATAAGCAATGAAGACACGCATGCATAAAATCGAGAACATGCCTTTACAACCCTCTTCAATTTATTCCTGTCCTTGATAGATGAGCCAATCTGCCTTTTTTCCAGTAAAATCTTCTGTGTAGTTATATTCTGATAGGAAACCGCGTGAGTGTCAAAACCTCGGGAATGGCCCCGGGGTTGGCGAATGCTCGGCCCCCAGGCAGTGCAAAATTTGCAAATGCCCCACCCCCGGGACTGACAAGGCGTGCAAATGCCCCGCAGTAGCCCGGGGGGGGGGGGGTTGGGCGCAGGAGGAATTGACTGATGCATAATTCTGCAGTTTTTCACAATTTTGCAAGACAATTTGCACTCATTCAATATCCACGACGTCAAAGCACGCGCTTCCTTTGCACAACAAATTATAGCATTGAATTATAAAACGTTTTCATGAAAAGAATTCCATAATGCAGGACTTTTTCGTTAGAAAAATCTGGTCCTATGTGTATATGCAGGGTAATAATTATGGGCTTTTAGTGAAAACGATAAAAAAAAAATTCCCAAAATCACCTTTTCGGCCAGCCGGACGGGTTCTCACTTTTGACAGGCAAATTTGCAGTGCGATTAATAGAGTTACCATTTACGCTTCAACATGATAGAGAAATTGTTATGTTTAGGTTTTATCTCCCTTTATTTATTAAACTGTGTATGGTTTTGTTATGTGTAATCTTTAAAAGCGAGTGATATTTACGCGCGGCGTTTTGAGTATTCCTGCATGCGATGTTTATGTTCGACTGGAAACACCTGGTGCAGCGATAAAAATTGCGGGAGGGACTACTAACAATCAATAAAATAAATATAATTCGGTGAAACATGTACAGAGACAATAATTTTCATTCATGAAGAGAAGTATTGAGAGTAAAGTGTCTCTGAAAATCATGAGTCAGGTAGGCATAAACTTGTTTATGTTTTAAGCCGGCTTCCCCGTGTTTGCTCTTTTTCAAGATGAGCTCGAGGCAAGAAAATCGCTCAGAACTTTCTATTTATAACCAAAATCATAACTAAATGATCTTCGGAACCTTTTCTTTGAATTTGCGGTCAAAAAATGTCTAAAGGCTTTTTCGTGTATAAACTTAAGCCGCATAAAATATAAGCTCGACTTCAGGAAACCGAAAAAAAAAAGACACATCAAAGACAATAATTGCTCAGGCTTACCAGTCGAGATGCTGCTTGTGAAGGTCATCAAGTGTTCCAGAATCGCTGGACACTTTTCTACCCTCTTACGCCTCAAGCAAGGGCAAGTGAGTAAGCTCATTCTTGAAAACGATACCATCCGAAATCGGATTTCCAATGACTTTGACACGCGTTGCATTTGTCAACAAAAAGCGCAATAAACAAACCAGCCATGAATTACAGAACAATCTTGATAGCAGCTGTATTTCATTTTGTACACCAAGTAGAAAAAGACAGTTTAAAACATCACAACATGAAACAAAACTCTGTCAGCTCCAGCTATCAGTAAGCAAGTTTCCAGACGCTGCATAAATTTTCCGCATGAACTCACCTGTCAAATTTTGACCAATCAGAACATAAAAATTGGACGTAGAGCGTGATCAACGCGTGAAGGTGAGAAAAGTCAAAAGCGATTGCCTAACCTGCATGTAAAAGCGGGTTAAATTTTCGCGTCCGAAGTCAGTTCGAAATCAAAATTGTAAAAATGCTGCTCATAAACACGACTTATTTCATATGCATTAAAAAAAAATGAACTTGAGCCTGCGATCATTTGAAAAGTAGCAACTTGTCAGCGGATACCTTCAAAAAACACTCGAACTCAGTGGGTCGATACCTGAGCCCGCGATACGGTCAGGCGATACTGGTCAGCAGAAACACTATTTTGGCAGCTGTCAATTAATCAAAACATAGAAGTACAATATCAGGTTTAGCTAGAAAGTGTGAGATTAAACATGGGTATGCCTGTGGTGCGGGCGGGCGTACGCTACGTCATAACCCAATTTTATCGGATGGATAGTTTACCAAATTTTGTTACCCATGGTGCTCCGCTGCGCGCGCGCGAAGCGCGCGCGAGAGCTCCTTATAAGCGTGAAACCAATAGATAAGAATAACTTAGACAGCTATACCGCGTATCTGGTTCATAAATCCATGCATCTGCTCAGTTTGGCTCGATTTGAAACAGGCTGGCTTATTATATTGATGTTCCAACGTCATATTATGTTTACAAGAGCATTGTGGGTTGCCACTTCTCGCTTCTTACTAATATTGTTCTTCCAGTCAAAGGCGTTTGTAAATTTCCTGATGCTTCAGAGAAAAGCCTAGCAACTCCTGTTAGTAACTTAGTAGTGACTGAATAAGAAAATTAAACATACGAGTCGGTCCAAATACTTGACAAATAAAGCAAGAAGCGATTGGAGTAAAGCACATGGTTGAGCCAGCATTGCAATGATCAGCTGTGTTGTTGATCCGCACGAAAGAGAGGCAAAATGTCCTACATGAACTAACATCTTGTGAGATTTCATCTGAGTGAAATAGGTCTACTGAATAGGATTCGAACAGGATTTTGCTCCATCTTGCCATTCTGTTAATTAACTGATATGTGAAGTCATTAACACTGAAGAAAGTCAATTTCAATGGGCTTAGCTTTTCCCCTGAAGTGATTGTAGGAGGGGTATAAATATGGACTTACTCGTAAAAAAAATTGCTAAAAAAAGACGGAATACGGACAACGGTTGGCGTTTAAAAAGAGGAAATTAAAGTTAAAATATTAAAAAAAAAAAATATTGAAAACGTCTCCCATAGGTCTTCACGACCTTCATCAGTAACAAAATAGCTCGTATGGAAAACCTTTAATAAATTCAAGGAACAAAATTTATTTAACAATGACCATTGAACGATTGCCCAACGAATTGAAACGCAAGAGAACCATAGCTCTTTTGAAAGACTATCGCACCGCGATAACAAGGATCCACCTTAGACCTAATTTCTTTCTCCTCTCAGATATAAACGAATGCACTACCAAAACCGACAACTGTGACGTGAATGCTGCGTGCACTAATACAGTTGGTTCCCACGTGTGTGCATGCAAGTTTGGTTCCTCCGGTGATGGAATCACGTGCTATGGTAATTATTAAAGATATAAAATTAAAAGTTAGGGAAGACATGTTTATTGTAATTTCTTTTTATGCTAGTTGTATGTACATGAAGACTGGAGTTTTGTGCGGCTTATACGTACTCCATGATATATATCTTTTATTTTATTTTATATATTTCAATTGCAACAATTCTGTAATTTCAACAATAATTAGATTCTACCAAACATGACTAAGTCTGCTCAAGAGCCCATGCCCATAATTTCGCGTTTTCGCAGAGATGTATATTTTCAGACTGCTTTTCTAGTCAACAAGGCCTGGAGACCAGCTAATAGTATTTTTGATGTTTTGATGATGGTTATTTATTATTAGAGCGTGTTCTTTTACGTGGCCATATATATTATTCAACAAAAGAAAGTATTATAAAAGAAAAGAGTTCAACTCCTACATGATTGGTTTGAAACAGCCAACATGACGGCCGTTCCATTGTTTTGGAACACCAATATGGCCGCCATGACATCATGTGAAAACGCTCAATTCGTATTTCTTATACTTACCGGATGCGCACACATACGAAGCGGTGCGTCCATTTTCGCTAGAAAAAGTACTCCACAGATATGCTAAAAATAAACTGATCTATTGCTTAGGCTTAGTATGCGGGTCGCACTCTTCGGACTTCGGAATATGGGCATAAGATTCTGAAATAATTCAGGTAGATTTTCTTGCTTGATTGATTGACTGATTGACTGATTGATTGATTGATTGATTGATTGATTGATTATATCCATTTTGAAATCACTGGCGATCCTTGCAATCTGATTGGTTGTCAGCAGTGTGATTTATTAGCGAATCACTCTGTCTTTTTGCTTTAAATCGCCTCGTTCATGTTCTCCTAAATTGCATCATTTCTGTTTTTAATCGCACCATTTTTGCTTTATATTGCATCATTTCTCTTCCGGGTAGAAAAAGAGATGAAAAGCCTTTTCGTCCCGCTTTCATCAAACCGGCTACTTGGTCAAATAAATATATTTGGTACTGACTGAAGTTTCCGATTTCAAAATGGCTGTAATAAAGTGGTAATTGAACTTCGTGTCGTGCAGTGTTGGTCTGACATCAGAATTGTGATTTCAAATCGAACTCGCGCTTGTCCGATTTTCAAATCACGCGTATGATTTCAGACCAAATTACACGATTAATTATGAAGTTCAATAACCATTCTATATTTTGTCTCGATGATATCCGTATATTCTATGAATCATCTCTTCCAATAGATTTTGGAAAACTGTAAACGTTAACTTCTTCCATTGTAAATGCTGATCAACAAAATTATCAATCCAGCCCAATTGGTTAACTTAATTGCCTTTGCCCATTTGAGCATCCTGACATAACCTTGGAATCTATAAGAATCATTCTGATACAGCCCTTACCCTTCTTACACACCAATCAGTGGCTCTCATATTTGATACCCCCCTCCCCTCCCCCCACAAAAAATATAGATATCATTTCTGATGCTGCCTGTAAGACGATAGTCGTTGTGAAGTCCCTATTTTCTAATTTTAAGACAATTATAACAACTGGAATTGTCGACGTCTTTATGTCGCGGAATATTCCTGATTCAGTTTCAGTGTCTCTTGACAATATATTGATACCTTTTCGAATTCTTTGACTCAAGTGTTTACCTTGAAGACAATTGACTATTTTCCAATTCCCCATAATGCACTCCGTCTGCCCCCCAAATTTTGCATAACTTATTGTCTTAAAATGCTCTTGGGAAAATGCAATACTCCCAGGAGCATTTAAAAACAACGGTTTATGCAAAATTTGGGGGGCAAACAGAGTGTATTATGGGGAATTGGANACTCCGTCTGCCCCCCAAATTTTGCATAACTTATTGTCTTAAAATGCTCTTGGGAAAATGCAATACTCCCAGGAGCATTTAAAAACAACGGTTTATGCAAAATTTGGGGGGCAAACAGAGTGTATTATGGGGAATTGGAAAATAGAGAATGGCGATATCATTAAGGAGGCACTGATTCCCCTTTATAAAGGCGATATTTCATGGGACTATTCGCAACGAGGATTTTTAACGCAACACTGATTGCAGCATTAATGCGACATTGTTTCTGATTGTTGCAACATTGTCACCATAAAAATTGTCGTTGCAAATCGTCTCGAGTAACATCGCCTTAAAGAGTCCTTGATCACAATCAGTCTGGTCTGTTATGAGGGGTGATCTCAGCGAGAAGAAACTGAAACCTCCACAGCCTTGATTTCATGCATATGCTAACTCCTCACAAACAGCCACCGGCCATTAAGTTTCGTCTGCCACAATGAAGGCCTCACTTCAGTTCTGATTATCACCCTAAAAGGATTATCAACTGATGGGTTTTGATATTATGTTTTGGTTATTTAAATACAATTTAGACCGCCATTATTAGTATAGGTAATCATACGACTTCGAGTTCAATTTGGAATTTATTTGCATGAATGAGTTTTTCCAAAAGTATCAACACTCGTGGCATGAGCCCGTCGGACGAATGCAATTTGACCGTTTTGAAAAACACTCGAATGCAAATAAATTCCGAATTGAATGAGAAAAGTTGTATGATCACTTTCTAACAATAAACATAAAAAAATTATACTTGCCTGACTTTAATTGTTTGAAAGCTTTGGAAACCAGCAGATTGCAGCGCTTTATTGGTTCTTGTATATTTCTATTGTCTATTAGTCAATCAAAGTTTTCCATTCTCTAAGAAATTTGCATTATTTTCCTTCTTTTTGCATTATTTTCCCTCGTTTTTTTGCACTTTGTTTTCAGTTTACTAAAACTGTACTGCTCTCAGTCCATCAGATTCAAGAAATGTTTTCATGTATATTATTAAATACAATACATTGTCATTATCAGCTCCTTGGTCGTTTACAACGAATGGACAAGGGCGTAACGGCAGCATTCAGACTTTTACAGTGCCAAAAACCACTCGCTATCGAATCAGAGCCTGGGGAGCACGAGGAGGAACGCACTCCACAAACTATGGAAGTTATCCCGGAACTTACTACGGTGGAAAAGGTGCATACAAAGAGGGCACGTTTACCTTCAATAAAGGAACTGTACTAAATATTGTGGTGGGACAAAGAGGAGGAGATTCAGTGGAGGTAAAAGAGGGATGGTCCACTAACATGACAGCTGCTCAGCTGGGACTGTCTGTAGAGGACAATGCTGGTACCGGGGGAGGCGGAGGGAGCTTTGTTTATACAACAAGTAACGTGCTTTTGTTAGCTGCCGGAGGGGGAGGGGGTGCATCTAGTGGGTATAACGGGGTGGATGGTCAGTCGGGTACTAGCGGCACCAGTAGCGTTGGAAGAGGTTCAAGTCAGGTTCGTAGCGGAGGATCTGGAGGGAATCCTGGTCACTGTAACAGTGCAGGCGCTAGTTACCATGGGGGAGTGGGTGCCGGATGGTCAGGCCAAGGTTGTTCCAGGGCCGGGCCCCCACATGGTGAAAGAGGCGGCTCACGTGCTCAGGGCTGGGTAGGTGGACGTGCTGGAATGATGAATAGTGGCAACAACGGAGGGCCTCCCCCTGGGGCCGTAGGAGGGTTTGGCGGTGGCGGAGGAGGATCGGAAGATAATGGTGCCTCAGGAGGAGGTGGAGGGTACTCTGGGGGAGGTAGCGGAACATACCCAAACCAAGCAGGCGGGGGAGGGGGCTCTTACTGTAGTGGCTCGAATTGTTCAGGCGTGAGTGGAGGTAACTCAAATGACAACGGATTTGTAAAAATCGTGGAATTGTCTGACTAAACCAAGAAACCAAGGCCATGTCAAAAAGAGAAATCGTTTCCACTGTCGGCTTATTACTGATTATTATTAAGAGTGTCCTGTAGTAGAATGTCAAGTACTGTTATGTATATTAATGTATTATAGTAATCTGCGATCGAATGTTATGAACGTTTATCAGCAGAAATAATAATAATAATAATAATAATAATAATAATAATAACAATGAATAATATGAACAATAATAATAATAATAATAACAATGAAATAAAATATTAATTCAATACTCATAAAAAAGACCTATGTACAGTGCTTCACTTAAAAAGAATTAAAACGAAACTTGTACTTTCATTGACATTTGTTAGAAAGAAAAGAAAAGATCATAATATCTCAATATCTCTTGAAATATAATCCACGACAATGTTTCTCTAATAATTATTATTACTATTGCTATTAGCAATCACTACCAATATTTAACATCTTTTCACTAATTCCTCTTTAAAATCTGGCACGATTTCAACATGAACCAACAACGATAAGAATATTAAATGGTAGTAATAATTGAATATGCAATATTCAATATCTTTTCTCAGATAATAATAATAATAATAATAATAATAATAATAATAATAATAATAATAATAATAATAAAGACGATTTATGCTCGGAGTGGCTAAAACTCTTTGTTAATTCTTAGTCTGAGATTTGAAGAAAAGCCCTAATTCACGGACGATCCATCTGTACCCTTGTCTTGCACTGCGCGTTGCCTACTTTGCATACTGTTGCGACATCATAGGTGACTGCAATTGTCACTGGCCGCCTGAAGAGAAGAAACAAACATTTTAGTTTTCATTTGTCTAGTTCAAACATTTTATTCGCGATAATAACCCCTATCGGTCCAAAAGGTGTTGGTCTTGAGAATAGCCATAGTCCCTTCGAGTGAAATGATCATTTCAGCTGTCATTTGAAACCGAAATTGCCGGCCTTTGTCGTATTGTTCCAATGAAACGGGAACTGTTTTATTGGTATTATTTACTCGTAATGGGTACACACAAAAAACGATTTAAGGAGAAAAAAGTTGGATAGTATAGAATTAGTTTTTTTGATATAAATGGCGTACAACTATGTCATCTGGACAACGCTGTCTGGAGGCATAGAAGAGTGTGAGATGGTAAGGTTGCGGTCTAATTTTGTTACATCATTTGCAAGGTCAGGCAATTTGAAATCACTTAGAATATTATAGCCCAAATAAATTTGGTAGGTTCTGGAGGAGGACTTGGCGTATGGTCGTGTTAAGCCGAACTTGGAGGGGGTTTGTACTGTTGTGGCTCAAACTGTTCAGGCTTGACAGGAGGTATGATGGACTTGTACAAATCATCCGATTGTCCGTGTCTGCTCTAGTAATAGAACTGTTAAAATCTTAGATGACTTTATTTAGTTAATATTCATTTATTTTATTTTTGTTTATTTCTTGACGGTGAAGGGTAATTTGCATATAAGTGTAAGTGAAAGGCAACGTTTCTTCGAAGTTTTTTTTTTTGTTTTTTTGTTTGTTTTTTTTCAGAAAGCGTAAATTCACATAAAACCAGACATTATGGCAGGCAGAATGTATTTTATGTCAAGGCATGATACTCACATGATAACTCGCTAGGTCAGGCTGTACCAGGTACTGCAAATCTAGCCTAAGTATATTGAGGTATTTACCCAGTAATTCTTCGTTCTCTCCCTCGTCATCAACTCGGTCAGATCTCGAGAAAAATCTTTCCCTCCCCCTCCCCTTTCACCTGCCTGCGGGTTATTATCAGTTGTTAACGGTATTTCCTATTTCTTCTTTTTTCATTTTCTTATTTAGTTGTGTACTTTGAGGCGGATTTTTGTCGCCCCTTTTTTTAATTCAGTAGGTTAATCGGTTTACATATATGTTGTGATTATGTTAGCTTTGATTTCATTAAACCTGCCACAACCGTGGCCAGATTTATCCAACACATTTGTTTGTTTATATTTTAAATCTGTTCCTTATAGAAAAGTACGCATAAACCGGAAATGCAAGCAGAGGTCGCGCAGAGTTGGGCCTTGTTTTGAACACATACCTTGATATAAAAGAATTATGATTTCATTAAAAATTGTGTAAAATGAAACGAAGAAAGCCAGGATATTTCAGTTTGATGGAAAGGATACGAGGTAATTTGCATACTGACCAAAACAACTTACAGCGTAATTCGAAACAGGTCGACATTCTAATGGCTTAAAAACTTAAAACATTTTACGGAGAAAAAATAATTTACACGTTGAGTGAGAGTGCAGTTCGTAAAAAAAGAGAGTAGCCCAAAAGCACGTCGCGATGAAGGTAAATTATCTTTGCAAGTCCCCTAACACTTACAGGTGTAAATCAGAGTGCTCAAAGGACGCAAAATGCGTTGGCACCCTGTGTGAGCCTGGAAATAATCATGGGACCTGCGACTGTAATGCCGACCAGTATCAGTGGCTTAAGCTTTGTTTGTGTCTTTGAAAAATAACGAAGACACTTTCCTTAATCCAATTAACTGTTAGGGCCTGTGTACAAGGAGGTGGGGTAGCCTGTCCATATAATTTCTCATTTAAATTTGACCACATTTAGTCATGGTAGGAGTGAGGTTACCCGCCACATGCTACCTCACCTATAGCTATCTGGTGCCCCCACCTCCGTCCATGTAAACAGCCCCTTAAGCTAGGGCGCAATTGTGATAATTCGCATAAACACGAGCTGCTAAACTTTTATTGCATCGGTGACTATTCCTCAGGGACCCATTAAAGAAAATCGCGCCCTCTCTTTCTTTTGTTTTCAAGGATTCCATGCCCACATAGGTGGCACAATGACATTAATCCAGATTCTTATAGCTGTCGCATTTGACTGCTGGAATTTTTTATTGTTTTTAAGCTTAAAAACCCAAAAAAATTGTGGGCAAAAGCGTTAGCTATACCCGTATGTTGCAAATGAATCTACCCACAATGTCAGCCGTTTTTTTTTTTTTTTTTTCGCTAAAAACAGCGAAGTCGAGTGAATCCATCGCGACTTTTTATCGCATAAAGGAAATCTAGACAAACTATCGCCGCTGCTGTTAAAGACAAAGTCTCTCATACAAGAAATGAGGCAGTTAATTGTAAAACGAAATGAACCAGCCTTGGAGTGTACAAGTGTAATTCAGAAGGACTGGCTAAAAGCGCAGTTAGACGAGGACGAATGTGCTTCTGATTCTGATGACTGCGACGTCAATGCCGTTTGCCAAAACACTGTGGGCTCATACACATGCACGTGCAAAGCTGGATATACCGGAAACAGACGAACCTGTGATGGTAAGAAGAGCTAGACATCTATTGGACACTAGCACTGAACGTCATAAAGAAACACACTGTACACCCTACCTCATGACAATACGCCATTGTCAAAAAGCAAAGAGATGGTCTCACAATTCGCAAGGCTTCGAAACGATTAGCAAAATGCGTAATTTATATATACCGATCACATCAAAAAGTGTCAAAAAGCAGATAAAATACAGTGAATATGACGGATATCAAATTCAGATCTTTTCATTGCTTTTTTTTGTAGAGGGTCTTGAAGGGACAAAATAGTGAAGACACTACCATCCTTGCATTTCTGAGCCTTTCCCGTATCTACTTTTATTAAACATTTTCAGTCTGTTGTGTTTCAATTCTCTTTAGATCTGAACGAGTGTTCAAGTAACTCTGACAACTGTCATATCAATGCAATATGTCACAACACCGTTGGGTCCTACAAATGTACCTGCAAACCTGGATATAAAGGAGATGGACGAACCTGTAGTCCTAATGGTAAGAGTCATGTCTTACAAAATCCTAGATGTTAGAAATGAACTATCACTCTGTCTGACTGCCGGGTGATTTCCTGCGACCGAGGGGTTGGCTTCAGAGGCCCCCTCTTTAAAACTTCGAAACCTCTCATGAAAAAAAAAAATGCAAAAATAACACAGAATAATAATTTCCAAAAAATTTAATTTTTTTTTCCAAAAACTGGCATAATGACGTTATTTGCTGTCATTGTGGCGTCATGTTGTTCAATTTATTAGCGACCAAGAGAGACAAAACTAGTATTCATTAAGGGTTAGAGAAAGTAAGTGAAAATAGAATAAACGGTTACCGTATTAATTTAAGTGTTATCGATCTTGGCTGACGGTCAGTTGCAATGTTATTAACTACCCGAAAAACAATTAGCTCAATTGGCGCCGAATTTTAAACAGTTTTGCCCGACCATAGTTTTTTTGTCAGATTATGGAAGTCGACTATTTTTCTAGGTTTGCAAGACTCCGTTGTTGTGGGAAACAACCGAAACCACTTAACCTCGTTAAACAGCTGGCTTTCACCGGTGATAAGAAGCGTTTATTCTCGCTGGAGGCGCTGCTGGCGTGCATCAGTGGACGGCTGGGCTGCAAGTACGTTTCACTCGCAATGTGACGGCAAGGGACCGACTGTAACAATAATAAGGGTCGGAAGATATATTTTTGGAGGATACGCTAGTGTTTCGTGGGGTAAGTAAACAATGTAAACAATTGGCGATTTTAATAACAGCCCTGGCGCCAAAAGTATTCCACTTGACATGAATCTTAAAGTTCAGCCGGATAGTGAACAACAGAGTCAATCAATCTGCCTTTTAAGGACGGTGCTCAATTATGGGAAGTTTTTTTTTTTTTTTTTTTTTTT